TGGGACGGGGGGTCGCCTTCCCCTTCCCCTGCCATGCCCCTTCTCCACTCCCACCCCAGAGCCCCCCTCCTGTTCTGCATGCCCCTCTCCCTCGGTGGACTCCCACCAGGTGGGTGGAACGGGAGCTCGAGGTGGCTCTTGGGCGTGTGATGGGTGGGGGCAGGCCAGGATCCCCACCCAGAGAAAAGGTCTGCTGGCTGTGACATTGAAAGAAACAGCAACGAAGCCCGTTCTGCAGAAAACGGGGTGGATCTGATCAGTGCTGGCCCGCTTCCCGCTAAGATGGGAATTAGTGAGGAGGATTACTTTTGAGCATCTGTGGCCCCACTGTGCCCACATGTACCTCCTCTGCCCTGGTCCTACAGGGCTCCGGCTCAGCGTCGCTCACTTCCAAGGCCTTGTATGGGTGGGGGGCTCCAGAAGGCCCACGGGCCAGGGTAGGGATGTGAGCACCCACCGGCCTCCCTCCCTCTGGGAGACCAATTCCTGGTGAGCAGCCCAGGCTTTGCAGAAATACAACCATGCCGAATCCCACAGCCAAGTGTGTGTTTTGGATTGAACAGGACAGCTGAGAACAGGAGTGGGGAGGGGTGGGGAATGCCAAGCAGGCCCAATCCAAGCTTTGGAACTTTCTAGAAAGGAGAGCACCCTCTGAGGATCCCAGCCCTCTGGGCTCCAGCAGTCTCTGGGGCACCCGTCGTGGCAGTGGGAGTGGAAGCCTCAGGACTCTGAACATCAATGGGGCACTATCTGCTGGCGTGTACCCTCTAAACCAAGCCATCATTAACCAGATTCTGGGGGCCCAGCAGCCTGCTCTGCAAGCAGACCCTGGTCTTCTGGGCCAGTTCCTCAATGGAGTAGGGGTCTGTGCAGGCCCCTGGAAGACCAGGCCAGTTCGGTGAACCAGTAACTGCATCGCAGACTCTAGGGGCCTCCCATGCTTTCAGGGACCCGGGGACTTCTTTGGGGCTGCCCGGGCAGCTGCACTTCGGCCCAGAAGGCTGAGGGGAAGGGCAGTGGTCTTTTTGGTAAGACTCTCAAATCCACAGAATCTTTCGCTACCCGCACAGTGGAGGGGAGATGCAGAGGCTGGGTGGGCGAAGCTGCTGTGGGAAGTGAGGGGGCCCCCGACTCCCAGCCTTACTGCACCACCTGCAGGAACACCCGAGGGGGGGCGTGCCTCTTCCTAGTGCGTGACCCCGAGCCCCGTTGCTGGTCCGCCAGTCCCGAAGGCCCCCCATCCAAAGCCATGAGGTGCGCACTGCAGGCAAAACGGGGGAGAGCTGGGCTGTGTCACCCCCTGCAGAGCCAGCAGCTCGCCTGCCCTGGAAATACCCCGAACGCTGCCTCCCCGAGTCCCGGCCCTTCCTTGCCACTGTTTCAGGCTGGCTGACTCCATGCCCTAGAAGTTCACTTTTATTCATCTGCCCGGCTCTGGGGGTCATGTGACCCAGTCGAGCAGTAAGACCAGGAACTGGGAGCTCCCACCTAAATCAGTCACCAGACAGAACCTGGGGATTTATCAGAAAACCAAGCGGCTGCCAGGCTTTAGAGAAAGGCAGAACATGCCTGGAACTAAAAGCCATTTGGGCAGGCCGCTGGCATTCCCCCAGAGAGCACCCGCCCAGAGGTCGAGAGTCACTGGCACTTTTTTCTAGTTTTCCTGTAGGGGCAGGAGGTGGGCAGAAGAGATCCCTGGAAACTTCCCTGGGATAGGTCACTGCAGGGTGATTCCAGCGGCCACCTGCCCAATGACCCAGGCTCCTGGGTGGTTTTCAAGGACACTTGGATTTCCTTTTATAGAAGGAGACTGAAGCCCCACATCAAAGAACAGGCTTCCAGTTGAGCAGATACAAAAGCCGGGTTTCTCCGAGGCATGTATGTGCCTGGGGCACAGAGGAGCCCTGGGAGGCCAGGCTGCTTCCCACTCCATGAGTCTGCGGAGTTCTGGGGCCTCTGGGACCACGGATGGGGGGACTCGAGAGGGGCTCCCTGATGCCTGGCCACGTGGCAGCGCCTCACATGACCACTAGCGCCTCTGCTGGGTTCTGCCCCTCACCCCCCGAGAAGAGTGGGGACCGGCTTGTCGGCACCCGATTGGTCCAGGAGCCCTTGATAACATCATTACCCCTCAGTATTAATTTTGAACAGGGAGCCATCCTTTACCCTTTCGAGATCTTTTTAGTCATTTTAGGTGCCCCTCTCTGAATCTTCTACCCAACCCCCTGTAGCTGGTGTCCAGACAGACCCTGGGCATGGTTCTCCAACGAGACAGACCCAAAGCTCCCACCTCTCACCCCAGGCCTTCCTGGCCCTCACCCATTGCCATGCTCTACTGTTAGATTTTAAAACTGCCAGACCATTGGGCTCACTCATGAACTTGTAGCCACTAGGACCCTTCATGTCTTTTTCTTTTGTGGTTATTTATGGCCAGGAATCGATTAACTTTATGAGTAAAACCTCTCTCTGTGCCTGGTCCTTGGTGCAGGCTTCCCGTTTTGTAGAGGTGCATGTATCTCTCGTTGACGGGCTTTGCGCCTTCTTCAGCCTTCTGAAAGGCTCCGGCGTCTAGCCTGTAGCACCGTACCTGTTGCACCATCCCAATTTCAGCATCTAAACACTGATTTAGGAAACCATTAAGTCGATTTCTCTAATGACTCAAAATATAAAGTGCTTTCTTTTGTTCAGTGTCAAATTGCTGATGGCAGAGCTGGTAGCGTCTGACCTGTCAAGGCAGATGTGTTATCCTGTATGGAGACCAAACAGCGTATTTTCAAACCACTTTAAATGACACATTACATGCCCTGGAGCCTGGAGACCTGGTTACTGTCCTGAGCTGCTGAGAGGAGGGGGGTGTAAATCTAGGAAAGATGATCTCCAAAGTGTCCCAATACCAAAATTAGAAATGTGACCCTAAGGCCGCCGGCAGGTGCCCTCCAACCTGCAGAGGGTGTGAAAGTGGCCAGGCAGGTCTGAACCCTCCCCCATGAGGTGGTCGGGTCCTGAAGACACGTGCCCACAGGAGGCCAGCTTGCATCCCCTGCATGGTGAGGGACCCTGTGCAGCCGGGTGATTCATGGAGACAACGCGTGCTCGGCCGCCACTGTAGTTTTCCTTCCAAGCATTTCCTAGACCTTGTTGAACCCTGGCGCTCCTTTACACAGGAGATACGTGCAAGAGGGTCCGTGCCAGCCTCCTGTGGGTTCTGGGTTGGGGGTGCTGCTCTGGGGGCTCTGCTCACCAAGACAGGATGGGGGCAGAGAGGCAGGGGTGCCCAGTTCCAGGGTCCCAGACAAAGACAAGAGCCAGGCCTCATGGGCCACCTTGGTTTGGACAGAGGGTGTCTCAGCAGCAACAATGGGTTGGAGGCAGAGAGCTCCCCCTGCACAATTTGCACGGGCCCCCTGCCCGCCTGCTTACTGCCAGTCCTTAGTGGAGTGGGTAGGGAAGGGCAACACTTGTGATAAATGAGCAGACGGGGCTCAGAATTGGATGCAACTTGGTGGGAACAGAGGTAAGTGCCGTGTCTTGCTCCCCAAACCCTGGAGTGAGCACCACGCCTGGGGGGATGAACGGGGGCCAAAGGCTGCTCAAACGTGGGCACTCCGGGTTCACCCCATGGGTCCCAGGCGTGGACGTCTGTGCGGCCTCTCCTGGGTGTGGCTCTGCTGGTTGGAGGGCTTGCAGGGTGTGTGCCTGCTGCAGAAACCGCGTGAGCGGCCCCACAGTACTGGGAAGGTGCAGGCCTCCCCGCAGGGACGCGTAGCTGATGCGGGGCAGGGCTGTGCACACCATCGCCTTTGAAGTGAATGAGGCCCTCAAGAGCTGCCCATGGAGCTGCTGCTGGCAGAGGGTACACACTGAGCTGGCAGATGCCCATCTATACCATACTGGACAAGCTGCTCCCAGGCTGGGACCCCAGGACTGCAGGACCCCATGGGGCTGGGCCTTTCCAGGGGAGAGCAGGGCAGGGCAAAGAAATACATCTGAGGTGCATCCTGGCTGGGCCACGCCCAGGGAACCAGATGCCTGGCAGGTTTGAAAGGCCCCTCTGTGGTGGTGGGGGGGCAGTGTCCCACGCTGGGGATCGTGATGGGCCTCGTCCCTCTGTGAGGCTGAGCAACAAGGGTAGGACCGTCCCTTCCTGAGGAGGGGCCACTCACACCCCACCTCGGCTTACTGCTCTCTTCACACCGCCTGCAACGGCCACGCCGTAGAGGGTGGGGACCCCCCGCCCCAGGCCCCAGCTCTGTCCATACTCACCACTGCTGATGCAAGGGGGGGAGGGTGCACGCGCAGCTGTCCGGCCATCCGCACCACTGGGGGCTCAAGGCTGCAGAGTCCGTGCACGTCCATCCACCTGCCTGGCCTTGGCTGAGACATCTGCGCACCTCACCGGCCCTTCTCTGCGTGCCAGAGGTGCCCCTGCCCGAGGCCGGGAAGCCGAGCCCCACCCCTGAGGGCCTGGTAGGGCAGCTGATGCCCACAATCTTCCTCTAACTTCCACCCCAACGAGTCACATTCACCTTCTCTGCCTCCTTAAGAAAAGTTCACAAGTCTAAGACTCCAGCTTTTCCAGAAATCGGAGCCCAGCAGCTAAGTCTCAATAAAACACTGTGTTTCCTGGCACTGGGGCTGGTCCTGGGCCCCAGCTGCTGGGGGTGCACGAGCCCTTTCTGGGCATTTCATTAATGTTCGTACCAAACTCTCGTCCCAGGGGCCACGAAACCACCCTTGCTCCTGGGCCTCCCACCGCAAGCCACAAACAAGCCTGTTCCCCTGCCAGTGGATGGACCCATGGGCCTCAGGGCAAGGCTTCCCAGAGGAGGGGCCTAAAGTCCACTGCCTGAGGCGCCCCCAGCTCCGGTGAGCCCCTTCCTGTCCTCCCCTGCGGGACAGCCAGGAAGCTCCTGGGTCTTTCATGCCCACACCAGAACCTGCCCCGTTTGGACCTACCCAACCCCACTGGACCTTCTCCCAGAGGCACCACGGGGTCTACATTTGCTGTCAATATGATTTTATTTCCTTTGCTGTGGATCCATGAGAGCCAGAAGCGCTACTGAGGCCAGAGCCCACAGGCGTCACGGGGACCGGTCCCAGGCCTAGGGCAGGGCCCGAAGAGAGGGCGACTATTTACAAAACTAAAGCAAACAAAAGGAAGAATTGCTTGCCATGGACATCAGTGATCTCTCGGTGACAGTGGGCATTCATGACACTCCCTTAGACAGCAGAGCCCGGCCTCCAGCCCAGAGGAGACACTCATGGGCTGGATCTCTTTGAACTTGAAGCTTCCCACTTAGAAATTCAACACAGGGACAGGGCCAGACACCTGCAGGATGTTTGTACCCTGCCCCTCTCCTCCTCTCCACACTGACCCAGGAAGCAGGGTCCCAGCTGGGGTGGTTCTGACAGCCGAGGGGGTAAGACCTTGAGTGCCATACCCGTTGAAGAGCCTTGCATGCCCACGTACACAAAGAGGCGCACATCCATCTCTTGAGGTTGCTGAGGCTATGGTACATGGCGGAATTTTCTCGGTGGCAGGACTGGGGTGCATGGGTGAATTCTACAGAAGAGGCACAGAAAGGCTTCCCCCTCGGCTGGGGATGCAGCAAAGTGGGCATATGGAAGGGAGTGGGTTTGCTGACTCCCAAATCGGGACGAACTCTCTGGCCGAAAGCATGCCGCCTCTTGGTCAAGGCTGCTGGGGCCAGAGTCAGTGGTCTCTTCCCTGAGTAGCAAGTGAGGTCCCTGGGGCCTGGTAAACCGACCTCACGGGATTTTCCAGGGACACAGTCCCCACGGCCGTCCTGTGAGGAGGGTGGGCGGGCGTCATCATTCTCATTCTGCACAGGAGGAACCCGAGGCTCAGAGAGGGGAAGCCCAGGCGATGGAAAGGGTCGGAGGCCAGGCGAGAACCAGGCTCCTGACCCCGGTGAGCCCTTGACTCTCAGGGCACTGCTCGCGCCCTGCGGGGAAGCCCGGCCTCAGGCTCAGTACCTTGGAGGAAATGAGCCATCCGGTTCTAGGACAGTTCTGAGCCAGGAACGAACAGGGACAGAATGCTTTGACTCCCGGGCCTTGCAGCCTGGCTTAGAAACACAGGGCTAATTAGACGCCCCCCCTCTGCGGTCTGGGTCCCTAGGTCTCTGGGGATGGGGCGTGTCCAGGCCGGACCTGCGGGCCCCTCCCTTTGCTGCTGCGGCCAGTCCTGCCCACGGCCTTTGGCCCAGGCCACGCCCCTGCACGGGTGTGGGTTTTCCCAGGGAACTCCTCCTCCCGGCTCCAGGCAGGGCAGCTTCCAGGGGCCTCTGCTGGGCAGACAAACCCGAACGGGCTTCTTCCCTTTGCCCCGTAGCCCGGACACCCTTCGGGCACTCCGCAGTGGGAGGGGAGGTCGTCAGAGGATCGAGGCTTCTGCAGCGGCGGGGCCCAGCCGTGAGCGGACTCCTGCCACCCCGGCGGCCACCCCTCCAAGTCATTCCTACTAAACGAGAAGCAGCCAAGAGAGCTCAGGTGAGGCCCACAAAGACCAAGGGAAGAGCTGCAGAGCCCCCCACCCGTGGTCCATGGGTCAAAGGTGGGAGCCGGGTGGCCTCGCCAGCCAGTGCCCCCGAGCCCGGGGGAAGCCCATGTCTCAGGACCATCATTTTCATCCTGTCCAACAGGGCTTCAGGCAAAGTCTTCAGGAAAATCCAAAGGACATGCGGTCAAGGTCCTGGACTGTAAAACCTCCACCCTGCCTGACGTGTAGCCGACAGGGACAACACGGCTCTGCCTGCTGACGGCATCCAGCAAGGCGGCCCTTTCTGCACCGCAGCCCCTCCCCACCCCGTGCATCCTTCCCCCTCTGGCTCAGGAACACCGATTCCCCTGGCTTGGGAGTTCCACATCTTCCTGGCTGAGACTTGAGCTGGAACCTTCCTGAACAGAACCCTGTTCCCGTCTGCACCTAACCAGGCTCCAACCCCACCAGCTTGTGCGTCCCCTACCCTCCCAGGCCCAGAGTCCTCCTGCTGTCCCATCCTCCCTTCTGGGCCAGCACGTGTGCATCAAAGGCCCCCTTTCCTCCCAGAGGTCCTGACGACATTGTGTACCGTCAGCACAGACATTAGCGGTGGGGGAACTTGTAAGTATGTGCACACACGCACGCTGGCCAATAACATTAAGTGTCATTTTAAAAAATGGGTTAAATAAGCAGCATCGCCAACGATGGCCGTGCAGGTGATTATCCCGCGTTTGCACATTCTGGAGGTGGGAAGGCTAGAAGTCTAATGACTGAATTATCACCCGAATGCCTTTTGCTGGCTGGGAATAATCCTGGGGCAGCAGCTGCCGCAGGGTTTTGGCTGGCTTCCTGTAATTGCATCCAGATTAGGGGAGCCATGCCAGGGGCGGGTCTTCTCCATCCTCTGGAGCAGTGTTTCCTCACAGAACACACACAGTTAGGTCTGCAGCTTCTGAGATCCTAGCTGCTCAGGGAGGTGATCTCACTGGGGTCTGGCCCAGCCCACAGGGGTGTGAGGGGGGAGCAGCAAGGGCAGGGGTGGCACTTGGCATGGGGTCTTGGGGAGCTGTAGGAGCTGCGAGGTTCTGCACGAATGCTTTGCACCCAGGACCCTCCAAAGAGAGGATGCCTGGACAGCTCCCAAGGCACAAGGTATCGCAGTTAAATGCTGTCCTGCAGAGGTGGGAGGGGCCTCCTCGTCCATCTCCTGTTTCTCCAGGGAAAGTCAGGCCCCTGGCAGGAGAGTTCTGAAACTGTGTCATTCAGACCAAGACGTCCTGATTGTGGAGGTGGTGATGGGGGTGGAGGGGGTGGAGGTGAAGGGGAAGGTGGGGGGGCGGATGTGGTAGAGGTGGTGTTAGTGTTGGTGGGGCACCCTACCAACCAGTGAGTTCCTCGCCCCTCCCTGAATTCCTAGCCTCCTGCCATGTCACTGAGCACCCTCTTGCTAAAGGCAGGGTCCGTTTCCCCACCCCATGCAGCTCAGTCCAGCTGTGTGACTTGCTTTGGCTGATAGGCTGATGGCAGGAATAGTGCCCACCAAGGCTTGGGGGGCATCTGCCCATTTCTGCTTCTCACCCTGGCCTTGCCAGGCCTGGCCTGAAGGAGGGATGCGAAGGACGCAGAACAGCACAGGTCCAGCCTCCAGGCATGCGAGCACCCCCGTGGGACTACACGGCCAGCTGACCCCAGACATGGGGACACGCCCAGCCAAGCCCAGAGGAATCTCCCAGCTGACCACTGACCTCTGATGGGCGTGGGAGAAGAGTGCGTGCTGTCCGAGGCGCCCCATTTGGGGCTGTGTGCAGCATCACTGTGGCAACGGAGAGCTGATGCTCCTGTCCACGGGGACGCGTTTGCAGGGGAGGGTCGGTGCAGGGCCTGGCTAACTCAAGCCAATTCCACGGCCAGTCTGGGGCCGACACGGCATGGTAGTCCTCTTCTCTCAGCACAGCACCTGGGCAAGGCGACCTCCACCCAGCCTGGGCCCCACTGCTGGACAATAACGGTCAGGGCCCCAAGACCTGGGCACAGATGGGGATCCCGGATGGTCTCCCCAAAGGGCTCTTGGACAAAGGGACCAGGAACTGGGCAGTGCCCACCTTGCCTGTGGAGGACTCGGGCTCATGCAGAAAAGGGAAGCTGGGGAGGGAGGACGCTGGTAACCTCTTCCTTCCTGTTGATAAACATCTCTTCAGAGCGCCACCACCCAGTGCTCCCTGCCAGGGAGAAAAGCTGGGGGCAGGACTGAGCCTCAGTCAGCTGCGTCCCCATGACCACCCCCAGCACGCCAGGGATCGGTTTCCCCAGAAGGATGTCCGGGAGGACCCTTCTCCCTCCTGGCAGTCTGAGGACTGGTTTTCCCTGAAAGTGGCTCCATGCTTTCCAGCTGGCTGGGAGCCCCCCCAAGCCCTTGCCCTCGTGAATCCATCTCTAAATCCCAGAAGGAGCAACTGATGCAAAACCCTTTGGAGCAGGGAGAGTGTGTGGGAAGACCTGGCTGTCACAGGTCTTTCTGTGGCAGAAAGCAAGGACCCCGAGCTACTGTTCTGAGATGGCTCTTGTGTCCGACCACCTGAGAAACTGACTTGCGAAGACTGTCATCCCCGGTGGGCTGCAGGCCCTGCAGGAAGCAGGCCTCTTTCTGGCACTTGCAGGTGTCTTGGTATTGGTGGGCCAGTTAAGAGACTGCCCCGTCTCTCGGCCACTGCAGATTCTCCCTCCAGGACTCTGCATGCACACACACACACCTCCACGCATCCAGCCCCCGCTGGTTACTGCATTTGATGAGGGATATGCATGTTGACTGGAAATGATTTGACTTAATGTGCTATGACCTTAAGAAATGCTGAAGACCCTCATGTAGAAATTCCCCAGCTAGGGAGAGGAATGCAACACATCTCCAACATCTACGGCTTGGGTGCGTGGGCTGGCAGGTCCCTTCACAAACCAGGCACGTAAGCCCCGGTTCTCTACCTGATGCCCTGCTCTCTAGCCTGAAATCAGTGGAGCTTCTGGTGGACAGAAATCTTCACATCAACTTTGTAGCTGGGGCTGGAAAACTGTGGCGAGTGTGTTTGTTTCACTCAGAGGATGAGGCCTGGTGGGGAGGTGTGTCTGGCTTGCAAAGATGTCTGGGCCCGGACAGGACCGCCACCTTCTGCTCGGCACCCCCCAGCGCTGGAGGATGCACAAGACCTCCTCCTGTCCCTGGCCTCCACCACCTGGCAGTGCTGTTGGTTGACGATAATGCCAGAGGAATTCCTCGGAGTGTGGAGGTCCAGCGAAGGGAGGCAAGAGACCCCGGGGCATCCCTGTGCAGCGGCCGCGCATTCTGCCCCGCTTCGGGGAGCCGGCTTTTCTCTAGGTGGCCGGCAGGTCTTACTTCCGTCTCCCCCACGCTCTGCTTTTGTCATGATTACCCGGTGTTCCCATCACATCGCCCAAAGGCATATTCCTTACATTTCTACTGTCCTGCCCCCTCCATGCCTGTCCCTCCCACCCCACCTGCCCAGGGTCCAGGCGCCATCCCCTCCGTGCCCATCTAGCACAGGAAGCCCAGCCTATCTGCGGAAACCAAAGCCTTCCCGAGGTGCCTTTGGGCCCTTCTTGCCGTCCCTGGGGAACTTGGGCGAAGGCGCCTCCACTGCGCCCCCGAAGGGGCAGCTCTCTGAGCCCGGGTGCTGGCCGGTGCACTCCACAGCAGGCATGTAGCCACTGTCCCACATGCCAGTCCCACACAGCTTACACAAGTCGTGCAGGCTGCAGGGGATCCGGGGCAAGAGGCGGAACTGGTACAGCAGACTCCTGGCCTGTGGAGAGAGGGGACGGTGGTGGGGTGGCCGCGGAGAGGGAGCCGACTCCTGCGGGCTCACTGTGCGCCAGACCCCGGCCCTGGGCTCCGCCTGCAGCCCCCACTCGGTGCCAGCACTGCGGGGCCCACCCGGTTCTTGGGGCAGCGCTCACATGGCTCCAGAAGGCTCCCCAAACGACCTTCCCCAGGAGGGGAACAGGGCTGCCCACAGCTGCACTAGGCCCCTCCTAACTGGCAGGCACCCCCACCCCTGCCTCACATGCCTGGACTCAGCCCTGTGACACTCTGCTCTGCCCGCCCCACCACCTTCCAGCCCCCTCAGGGTCAGTCTGCGCCATTCGGTGCAGGGCCGTGCCCACTCCCGTCCACATGGACAGTGATCCCTGGGCCCTCCTGCTGCCCCTGGAAGGCCACTAGAGAGCCGTAACCAGCAGCATCTGCAGCAGGAGTCTGGGAAGTGGGGGAGCAGCCAAGCTCATGGTCCCCCTTTATCCCACTAACCTTGGATGAGAAGTGGCCACCCTCTCCCCTGGCCTTCTTCTCAGTCTTCCTGGCTCCAGGCTGAGTGAGGTGCCCAAAGGTAGGCAACCTGTCTATTAACCCAGCAACCTGTTCACTCTACGTGGTTCTCAGGTCAGGGCCAGACAGCCAAGGGGCCCTGGAGGTGGGCATGGGGGCAGAGCTCCTAGGTGGGGAGGGTGGGTGCATGTGGGGGCACTCACCTTCCTGAGAACCAGCTCCCCGTTCATGTGCATGGCCAGGGTCCCAAAGTGCAGGAGCATCTGATCGGTGGCCAGCTGCTGCTCAATGACGTCATCCCCATAGATAGCCACGATGGCCACACAGATGAAAAGGTGGAAGTAATCTGTCTGGGGGGTGGAGAGTGGGTTCAGAGAAGGCCCTCCTGCAGGGGAGGCTCAGTGCAGGGGTGAAGCTGACAGTGTCTGGGTCCCTGCAGCCTGGGTAAGCTTGCAGCCTTTTTCCATCCTCAGGTTCCCCACATGCAAAAGGGCCAATGCCCAAAGGCCGCTGTGACATGCAAAGAGGTGATGTGGGTGCTGGCCACCCATGGGCTGCTGTGCTCTTGGGGGAGCTCCCTGGGTGCTCTTTCCATCACGGAGGGCAAAGGACTCGCTTCCTCTGAAAGCCAGCCTGGGCTGAGTCTTATTCATCAAGGTGTCGAGAAGCCCTCATGGTCAGAACACACTCACTGGGTCGTGAAGCGTGCCAGCAACACGGGGCCACTGGCAGCCACCTGCAGCAAGTGCCTTCTGGGCAACAGGATGAACGTCCCAATGGAGCCCCAAAGAAGGCTCTTGGGTTTGTCACTAAGAAATTGGGAAGAAGGTCCTGGCACAGAGGAGCACGGTGGCTTCCTGACGCTCCCCATGCAGTGGCCAGCACACCCCGCTGTCCATAGGGTCTTTTCAGAGCCTGCTGAGGCCGGCCGCCCTGCATGGAGGCTGCCTCACACCACTGCCCGGCAATGCGAGGTAGGCAGCAGGAAGCCGGCACTTGGCCCTGAGCCGGGTGCTGTCCTGCCCGGATACTTTGAGGGCATGCTGCCTTTGGTTCACAGTCGCTCCTGGGGACGGAGGAAGAGCAAGGAGCCCTGGAAGTTCAAGTTCAGTTTCCTGCTGTCGAAGTTCCCCAACCAGGCCAGGCGGAGCCCAGTGTGGGCCGAGGTCACGGTCAGCAGGCACTCCGCGCCCACCTGCTCTGGGCAACCATCTCCCAGGCTGCTGGGCCCAGGACCACCCTGCCCCTTCCTCCGTCTAGTCCCAAACGCCCTTGCTCGGGCTCTGAATGGTCCTTTTGCAGCTACTGGCACTCTGGCTGCGGTGGGAAAACAGTGGAGAATTCCAGAAGGTGGACATCCAGCTTCTCTAAAGAGTAATGTGGGGAGGAAAAGGTGCAGTCCTGGAGTGGCCTGGGCAGAAGGGGGCTCATTTCAGCTGGTGTGGTCCCTGGTAGTAAACGGAGAGAACATAGCCATTCTCTCTCAGGGGCCACTTCAGACGGGCAGCCCCTCCCCTAGAGCTCACTCCTGGAGATCTGGCCTGCCCCCCCCATCCTGCCCCTGCCCCATCCTGTGCTACTAATTTGATGAAGGGGCCACAGTCTGAAAGGAGTAAACTTGATTTATGGGCTTCGAGCAAAATGGTGTGCAGAGGTGTGCAAAAGGGCCTCTCCTGCAATGTTTACTAGATTTTATTAAACTGGGGCATGGATAGGGCACAGTGATCACCACCATCACGAGAATGGCCCGCCTGTCAGGTGACGCTCAGCGTCCACGCGTAACGCCAGCCTGAACGTGATGTGATGAGGATGTCGGATTGGCTGCAGGAGGAACATACGATGCCCCACCAAGAGCAGACGTGACTTTGGTTCTTAGCATGAGCCTGCGTTTGGGAGCATCCGTGCCGGTGCATCCCTTGCTTAATGCGGACTATTCACTCTGGATGGACCCGTCGGGCACACCAGCCCAGGTGAGCCCCACAGCCAGACTGGGGGCCATGGGGGGCAGGTGGGCAAGGCCGGAGAGCAGAGACAGCTGCCGGCAGCCCCGACACGCTCCTCCTGTGATGTCAGGGTGGCAAATGCTGACGCACATTTCTGCAGGCAGGTGGGGGCCCCACCTCGGCAGGGTTTGTCTAAGGAGCTGCTGGGCTGCCATGGCGAGAATGCAGCCACCCTGGCAGAAAGGGTCCTGGCCCCTCCCGGATGTGTCAACACTACTGTTTTTACAGGCTGATGATTCAAAGGGACTTGCCTATCCTTTAACATCGCCAGCCTGTCTCTGATCTGGGTGTTAAAGCCATGTGACAGGGCCGTGCTGAGCTCTGACAGGAGTTGCTGATAACGGTGGCTGCCAAGTGGGAATGGATGTCGCTGGGAGGCGGCCGCTGGTCCTGGGTTCTCCAGAGGGGCTGGCGGGAAAGCCAGCCGAGCCGGAGGGCAGGTGGGCGCTGGCTCCAGCCTGTGGGCCAGGGCCTAGGCTGCAGCGGGCCAACTGGCCCGCAGTCTCTTTCATGCTGATTGGCTGTGACATGAGAAAGCCCAGCCCCAGACCATGGTGAGGAGCGCAGTCAGGGGCAATCCGCATCAATTTCAGTCCCTTGGTAGGTGAGTGGCTGGTCTCACCAAGCCACGTGAGACGAGCTGGCAGTCACCCGTGAGGGCTGGCATGTGGCTGGGGTTCTGCCCCTCGGGTCCCCCCGGCTCACCTGGTAGTGGGCCCAGCAGGCCTCCCAGATCCGTAGCGCCTCGGCCTCCGGGAACTCCCGCTTGAAGCACAGCAGGAGCCAGCGGTGGCAGAAGAGCATCTGAAGGCCGTCTTCACCCAACGAGACCAGGTGCTGGTAGAAGCGCGGGTGCGTGAGCCGCAGCAGTTCCCGCAGGTACAGCTGGGGGTGAGGCCGGGCGTCAACTGCAGCCTCGCGCAGGCCTGGTGCCCGGCCCAGGAAGCCCGCTCCCAGGGGGCTCTTCCTCTGGCTGCCCCACCCCTGAAAGGGACGCGTGCCATGCCCCAGATCTCCGCCTGCCCCCTGCATATTCTATCCTGCTGCTGGGATCTGACTCACACCCGGTTTTGCTAGTGGGTCCCAGAGGGTAGCCTATCCCGGTGGCCTGTCCCAGGGCAAGGCACAGCATACCCAGTGCGCTGCTGGGGGTGGGGAGGCTGGGGGCCGGGAAGATGTCCCCTCCTCCTGGGAAGACAAGTGGATCACCCATGGAAACCCCTGCCCAGTCACCAAGGTCTATCACCTTCCAGAGCCAATCTAGAGCAGAGGGGGGCGTTTCCGAGCCCCTGGACACTCAATTCCTGAAATGGAAGGTCACCACCCAGTGACGTGAGACCAGGTCAAGGCTATTTTTGGCAGCACCCAGATTGGACTGCTGACTTTACCAGAGCCATAGGAAGGCCCATCTCCAGTGGCCAGCAAGTCACGAGGCTGCAGGCTGCGTGAGCCCGTCAGAGCAAACAGCGCCAGGCCCTGTGATTGCCTCCCCTGGTACTGTAGAAACCTGGCATCCAAGGCCTGATGCAGAGCAGGGGTAGGCTGGGCTCAGCCGCTCTGGGGGGCTGCAGTGGGGGTGGGCTGGGGGCAGGGGATCCTGGGGCAGGGGCCCCGTGACTCAGGGCCCTCCCCACACAAGCGGCCCTTTGTTCCTGCAGGAGACCCCCATGGGGGCAGCGTGGGGCCCTGGAGGAACTGATTCTTCCTCTCTGGCCAGTTTCTCCCCGCTGTGGCCCACTGCAGGGTCAGGTCCATGAGGGTGGCCGGGCCCTGCCCAGATGCCCCTCACCTTCCGAACCACACCTCCTGTCCTCCAGCCCTCAGCAGCTGTGTTCCCGTCCGCAGTGAGTCCACGTCCCTGGCACTCAGCTCTACCCTAACGCCCGGGACATGTCTGGCCCAACAAGTCCAGGCCGTGCAGGGTCGCTAGACTTGCCTGCCTTACTTCCCATCTCTGCCTGCAGGCACCCCCGTTCCCTGCATCCAGCAGCCTCTCCAGGCACTGCCAGCTCCCAGGCCAAGGCCCTCCCGGACTGGGCACCAAGGCCACGTCCCCCATCAGTGTGTGGAGCGCTCAGCAGGAACAGGAGCACCCTGGCTGCCCCCCCAGCTCCGCGGGCTCCCACCCCCACGCTCGGCACCGCCGGGCAGAGTAGGTGAGGGAAGGCCGTGAAGGGAGGGGTGCCTGCTGCCCTCGGGCTGCGGTGTGGCGGCTGCCCAGGGGGCTCAGGGGGGCTTCAGGAGCCCCAAAGGTGTTGGGCCCTTGCAGGGAGTAGCTGAGATGCACCTGGGGATCCATTTTGTGAAGCACAGGGCTGTGTATGGTGGGGCCTCCCCCTCCCCACCCAGCCAAGGAGCCCACACAGGGAGGCCACCAGGGGAGGGCCCTGCCCTGCCCAGCCTGCAGGGAGTGGGATGGAGACAGCAGCATGCGTCCTGGGACCTGGGAGCAGCATGCGGCCCTCCTGGGAGAGCTGGCCCTTCCCCAGAGGCCCCCAGGCCCCATCAGCAACATCTGCCCCACAACAGGCATGCCACATGCAGCCTGCCCTCTCCCATGCCCTCCCACACCTATCCGGAGCCTCACCAGCTGCTTCTCCATGTCCTCGTCCCGAGGAGAGCTGACAAAGATCGTGTTCTGCATCAAACCCACAAAGCACCAGAAGGTGTCTGATTCGTCCAGGACCTCGGCCAGGATGGGAGCCACCAGGTCCGACATGCCCTGGGAGTAGCCGATGGCCGGGTTATACACAGCGTAGTTCAGCAGGATCCTCCTGGCGACACGGTGCAGAGAGCAGGGAGGTCAGCAGACAGTGGCCACAGCACAGCCCACCCTGCTGTCCTCGTGGGGGGTGAGCAGCACCCCAGGTGGGAGAAGCCCTCCTTTGCCTGCATCTCAGAGGAAGGAGGCAGCTCTGGGGGCTGTGCTGGGAGCCTTGGGAAGCTGAGTGGCCTCCGGTTAGCCATTCACCAGGCCCAGAGTAGGGGAAGGAAGAATGCGGGTCTGATTTTCTTAATGGCCGACTGCCCGTGGCAAAGGGCGGACTGGCAGGGACATTTTTATGGGCTGCTAATTTTGTGTAATTGTTTGCCAGGCGGCAGCAAAATGTCAAAGATGCCAGTCTGGGGCTCCGTGCGGCCGTATCACCCAGAGGACCACCCACTGGGAGATGGAGATATTCAGGGGAGGGTTGTCCACCGTTGCTGTGAGTCAAGCAAGGACAGGGTTGGTGGAAGCCCAGGGGTCACGGCCTTGGCTGGCACCCTCAGGAGGGCTGCCCTGGGACGCTATGGCCTAAGGGGCCGACCAACGTTGCCTGAAGTAGCTGACAATCCCCTGCTCCCAGGTGTTGATTGCATGAACCTGCAAGACCCCTGACACTCGACCTGCACAAGCTCCTGCTCTTCCACTTTCCAGAGGGCCACCTGCGGCCCGGGGGACGAGGTGACCTCCAGAGTGGCAGGAACAGGGAGAAAAGCAGTTGTGCTGGCAGGGAGGAGGGTACCTCATGCTCTCCACGTTAGGATTGTCTTCACCTCGGAAAAACTGGTTGCTCCGATCTGTCCGAACCACGTCCTTGTCTACAGTGAACTGCACATTTCGCCAGAAGGCTCTGTGCTCTTCGGGGGTCATGGAGAGCCTGGCACGAAGCAGAGCACATGCTCCGGGGGGCCGTCCCCACCACCCCCGTTCCCCAACAGGGACTGCTGCAACTGGCAGACTCAGAACTGGGGGGGCCGTGCAAGGCTTTCCCCATATTAATGCCTCCCAAGACCCAGCACCTGGGAGAGGAGGGCTGACTGCAGCCCAGGGCCGGCCAGGCCCAGAGAGACCTCGGCGCCAGGCTCCATGGGCCCTGCTGCCACTGCAGCGTCAGTGGCGGGCTGTCAGCACCTGGCAACGCCGGGAGAGCTCTGAAAGCTCCCGGGGCTGCCCAAGCCCGGCGCCCCGGGTAGTGACTGCGCTCTCCCGCCTGACCGCCCGTTCTCACAGAGACTCTGGGTCAGGGGACACATAGTGCTGGATTGCACCTCGAATCGCCTTTGCAGCTGACACATCCCCGCAGGGCGGCAGGGCGGCGGTCACCTTTTCCGCTGGATCTCTGCGTATTCCTTTCGCTTCTGAGCCCGCAGTGCCTCCCGCTCTGCCGACGTGGACTCGTGGCTGTAATATCGCAGCAGGAAGGGCCAGACCTCCCCCCGGATTGACACATCAATGCCGCCGAAGAAAATGGCCTGCAGGAAGCGGCAAAAGTTGGGGAGGGGCCAGAACAGGGCCACTCAAAGCACCCCAAGTCCCCAGGGATTTGTGTTTGGGGGGCTTTGCTGCGCCTCCTGACAACTGATGCCTTGATTCAGACAGCGGCAATTTGCACTTGTTTGGAAAGGGAAAGTGCCGGCCCCCCATTCCCATGCAGGACACAAGCCAGGCGCATTTCAATGTCAATGCCCTCCCTGGTGTGGCGCTCGGATCAGCGTGTTGTCCTCACGTCACGGCCTAATCCCCGTTCTGGAGGCGCTGCATTTCCCCATGGCTCTTCAATGCAGGCTGACGCGGGACCCCGGAACCCACTCCCTCTGGAGGTTTCTCTCTCCACGCAGGGGCTCCGATTGCTTTATCGGCGTGTTTGCACGGCTCCCGGCGCAGGGCGGGGCCCGGGAGGCTGGGGGGCCTCACCTTGCGCAGCTTGTACTCCTCCTCCACCTGGCCCAGCTGGTTCAGGTGCTGCAGCCAGGAGGAGACGTCCAGCCTTCGGTACGCGCTCTCCTCGGGGTGCGTCTCGGACGAGGGCAGTTTGGGCCGTCGGATGGAGAACTGCATGCAGGTCTTTTCATCGGCGACCTGCTGGACAGGAGCAAACCGGGCTGCTCGGTGCCTGGGGTGCTCAGCTCCGGAGCCCAGCGCTCTTCTGAGGACAGAAAAGCCTCCTTCTGTCCTGAAAGGAGGGGACGTGCTCTCCCCCTGCATACAAACCCCTAAATGGCAAGTGTAATTAGACCCAATTAAAATGAAAATACCTTCATCTCAGCACCGGTTTCCCGGCTGCTGGGCTCACTGGCCCACTCCCACCGGCCGCCGGGCCCCTGGCGACCGCCCCCCGACTCTCCCTCCGACCCTGGCTGCAAAAATGGAATTAATGCCTCGAACGGCCCGACTCCCCTCTGCCGGGAGGGCCTGCAATAAATTACATGTGATTGGCCACAAACAAAGGGATCCCTGTTCCGCGAGCGGGAAGCCCGCCTGTCAGGCTGTCTCCGCGGGCAGTCACGAATCCAGGGCAGAGCTGCAGCTGACATTTAATTCAAAAATCAAAGGTTGTTCAATGTACGGGGGAAAAAGACCATGCCTACTGTAATAAGGGGAGCCGGCAGGAGGCTCTGTGGGAAGGAAGGGAATTTTAAAGTCAGCCGTTTCTAATAGGCACATAGGGTGTCTTGAACAGATAATTAAAGAGCTCTTATTACATTTGTATGTAGATTGAGCAAAATATGGCAGGAAGCCTTGTCAAAACATGATTTTTCAAGAACGGAGCACTGACTTTACAAGAAGCCCTGGGCACATGTTTCAAATCCAAAGTCGCTGTTCCGTCAGCTGTCCAGCGACCACGGACAGTGGCGAGCCACCAGGGGCCACACCCTGCGAGGCCTCTGTGCCGGAGGTCCTGGCCCCAACAGAAGGAGGGGGGCCTCAGCAGCCAGAGGTCTCCCAGGCCGGGTCTGTGGACCTCTGGGCAGCGTCCGTCCGCCCCCTGGCTACCTGGTCTTTGAGGTGTGTCTCGGCACAATACTGCCACTTCTGAAACACGTCCGACAGCTTGTCCAGGCCACCCCGGTGAAAGTGGAAGACCTTGTACTGGCTCTCGCGGCTGGCGACAACGAGCTGACCGCTGGTGCAGGCCTCGTCGCTGAGCGGCCATGGGGGGAGAGAAAAGACGGCTGACTGTAAACACAGGTTTTTATTTCCAAGTATAATCAGAGGCAGGAAACAGGAAGTCCCTGTGGAGTTTGGCTGCTGGTGGGAGGGGGTCTGTCCACCCTTGCTCTGGGAGACGTGCCTTCTGTCCGCACCCCACCTGCCAGGCCATGCAGTCCTTCGCTTGGGGAGACCTGGGGCAGTAGGTGGAATCAGATTCTGAATCCGGGTGAAGCCGGCTCACAAACCCTCCAGTTCCCCAGACTCGGGGGGGACTGTCTGAGACTTTCCCTGACATTACTGGCTTCCCAGGCCCCAGCACCCAGAAGAGGAGGGCTGACTGCTGTCCAGAGACAGCCAGGCCCAGAGAGACCTCAGCCCTGGGTTCTCATGTTCCCCAGCTAGCCCGGAGGGCTGTCGGCCCCTGACCACTCGGGAACCAACGGACCCTCCTCGGTGGGCTTCCTCCGTAGCATGACGGCATGCTGGGAGAATCCTCAGGGAAACCCGCTGCCCGTCACAGGGCCACCAGCCCAACCCAGGCTGCCCTTCCGTAAAGGGCTGGATGTGGCTCTGGGTCTGGGGCCTCCTCCAGTGACACTTCCGCCTCCTCTAACACTGCTCTGAGGTTGTGCGGCCTGCTGGCCGGGCCGGGCCGCCTTTCAGGAGGAGAGCTCTGCTGTGGCTCTCAGGCAGGACCCTGACAGGGATGGTCCACCCTCACCGAAGAAGGGTGCTTCCCCACAGAAAGCCCAGCCCCAGTGAACAGCAGGCGGGCGGGTGAGCGGCACTGCTCTGTGCGGCCCACCTGGCACCTCTGCCCATTCAAGAGCCCCCGGCCACAGCCGGCTCCTGCCACCCTGAGGGCAGACAGAAGTTTGACAGCCACCATCCCCCAGTGCCTGTGGGCAGCTGTGTGGAAAACCGTGCGGCTCAGGTTATGATGATGGGAAGCAAACGTTTAGGAATGTGGGTGTTGGCCGAACCTGCCAGGGCCCTGGACCTGAACACCCCACTGTGGGGACACGGCGCCAGGCCAACCTCCAGGAAGCCTCCAGTGGTCGGCCCTCACCTGAAGAAAAGGCGAAGAGAGCGCATGTGGCCCAGGTCCACGCGGAACACGCCGCAGATCTGCTCCAGGGTGCACACCCGCTGCGGCTCATCCCAGCGCGGGGCCTGTAGGAGGCCGTGGTTGTCCGGGAAGCACAGGTGGGCATCGGCGCTGGAGGGGGAGCTGGTGGAGCAGGCGAGGTGAGCCAGCCGAGGAGGAGGGCAGAGAGGGCGTGGGGAGCGGAGCCATTCCACCCTTGTGCCATGCCAGGCTTAAACACACACACTACAGACACGCCCAAACACGCACGCATGCCAAGGCTCTCCAGGTGCCCGAGAGTGAACGAATCAGTCTATCCATCCTGTTACAGGTCAGGCCCAGCTATATTTTCATGTGGATGGGAAAGCATTTTCCTGATCAAATGACATTCTACTTCTAAGGAGGCAGTCAGTCATCCTAACGATAGCCGAGGTCACACTGAGGCACCCTTGCTGTGGGACCCTGGTGGGTCACCAAGCCTCCCTGAGCCGTTGTTTCCACACCTGCAGAGTGAGGCTAGCACAGGGCTTTGTGTGGAGGACGGGTGCGGAGAGAGCTCTGTGCAGAGCGCCCTGGCCTCCGGGTTTACCAGGAGAATCTGTTTTGTGACCATCTTGGGCAGCATAGGGCTTTTGTTTGGGTTCAGACTGGTTCACTGTTTACCTAAAAGGATATTGGCTTCGTTTATGGTTCAGTAAGGAAACATTTGGGTTATTAATGCTAATAGTGAGCATTTATTAAACACTCAGTGTGGACCTGGCCAAGGTGAACCACTTCTCCTGTGTTTATTATGTAGGATCCTGTGAAATAAGTCATGTCATTGTCCCCATTGTACAGAAGAGGAACTGAGGCCTTGAGAGGTTAAGTAACTTGCCCAGGGGCACACAGCTAGAAGGTGGTAGAGCTAGGATTTGGACCCAAACTTTGTGGCCAAGTCCTCACCAGCGTATTTTACTGCCACTGAGTGCAAAGTTCAGCAATACAACCCCATTTATTCTGTTTTAAAATTTGTTTTCATGAATTTGTTTAGAACCTCAGTTGCAAAATATTTTATTACCTGGATTCAGCCGTAGCAATCTCCTGATTTAATAGTAACATCTAGCAAATACCTGCTAGAATAATCGAAGGCGAGCATTGGTTCCAGGCCCCAATCCCGCCCTGTGCACACGCACAGGCTTCACCTCGTCCCACTCTCCCGCTCAGCTCCAAACAGAAGAGCGTCGGAGGTGACCCATCCCGGGGTCTCTCGCCCAAATGGGCGCCAGGCTCTAAACGAGGCGCTCTGCTGGCCCCAGCACAGCCCCTCGGGACTCTTCCTCGAAGAGAAAGACTGGCCTTTTCAGAACCTTTGCCGCCTCTAAAATGACTCTGGGCCGGCCTGGGGTTTGGGACGCACACCTGACCTCCCTCCCTGTCCGCGGAGGTGCGCTGAGCCCAGCTCTCCATGAGCAAACAGCCAGGTGGGAAGGTGCAGACCCGCTGAAGCACTGTGGCCACACAGCGAGCTCAGACCCAAAAAGGCTGGGGAGCCGCCATCTTCCAAGGGGCCTCTGGCGGGGCCTCCCTGCACCATCAGTGCCGGCAAAACGAGGTGGCCACGGGTCTGCGGAAGGCCCCACCTCGCCACTTTACGCGGCACTTCAGCATCCGCTTACTGAGCAAGGGGCTGCGGCAGGAGAGCTTGCGCTCGGTGTGCTTCCCTGGCCGGAGGCCCCTTCCGGGGCTATCTCCAAGCCCAGCTGGAGCACGACCCCTAAAGGGTGGCGTGATTTCCAGGCCCCCCCCACCCCTCCCCCAGCACACAGCGCGCCCTCCAAAGCCTGCACACCTTCCCAACACGCTGCGCCTCCTGCTTGCACATGTGGCGGGCCAAGCTTCCCAGAGACCAGGTCCAGGATGGAGACTCACTCTGGCAGAGGGGTGGGCAGAAGACCCCTGCTTGCCCCTGTGACCAGGAGGATGGGTCCCCTGCAGGGGAAGGAGCCATCTCAAACCAGCAAGGAGCCCCAGAGAGAGGGCGCCTCCCCACCTTCCGGAGGCATTGTGCCTCCAGGCAGAAGTCTGCTTAAACCCTTTCATGACTCCTTAGGGGAAACCATTTGCATTAATTAATTGATTGATTAATTAATTCAAGACACTATGCTTGGACCTACAGCTGGGGTTCCATGGGTTCAAAATGGAGAAGTCTTGGTTGTCCATCATGCAGGACCTAGCAGATGGCCCTTTGGTCATCCAGGTCACCTCGGGTGACATCTGTGCCCCCTCAAGGCTGGCCGCCATGGGATGGCGTTAATAGCCGGGTCGCTTCTACATCCCCAGCTCCCAGCCCAGACCTGGTGCAGAACATGAAGCCATTTAATGCCCATGCCTAGGATGACGATGGAAACTGTCTGGAATTTTGAGGTCATAGAGGAAAAAATTGTAAGGAAATAAAATATCAGAAAAATTGAAGTGGGTACAATTAAAAAAAAAAGACCTTTTTTACACATGTTGAGAAATTTAGTTTTAAGAATATTCAAATACACTACATATAATCTGGTTTGCTCATAAAATTATTATGTGCGCTGCATTAAAATTAAAAGGATGGCTTATATGGGCAATAACTCCCAACATCCACATGTCAAAACTGTTTCATCAGTAGAGGTGGAAGATGTGACATGACACCCTAAGAAATGTAGCATTTCTTAGTTTTTGTTCTTCTTTGAACATTCCAAAATGCAGAAACAGAAATGAAAACAGAAAAGCCGGCATTCTCACAGCGAAACATAGCAAGTGAGTCCTCTGTCCGCCCAGTAACCTAGGCCACGGCAGGTACAGAGTCGGAGATTAAGAACAGCCTCAAGTTCTTTGGCGCTGACCCCATCAAGAGGGATCTGCGCCCCCACCCCCACCCCCAATCTGGGCAGTTACTCTGGCCGGTAAGGTGTGGTGTCAGTGACATTCTGTGAGTTCCAGAGCCTGGCCTCGGGAAGCCTGGCGGCTCCTGAACCTGCTCCCTGGGTGCACCCCTGCCTCCACGCGAGGAAGCGTAGGGATGGATGCCGGAGACCACGGGGAGGGCGGCCCAGCTGCTGGTCAGCACCAGAGCCCCCAGGCTGCGTGGACAGAGACCGTTTCAGCACCCCCACTCTGGTCAGCCCACCCCACCCCCCCACCCCCACCCCCGTGCCCTGTGGAACATCCTGACTTAGCCTAGCCTGACCAGAGCGACAGTACGCAAATGAAAGGTTGTTATTTTAAGTTACTAACTGGGGCCTTTGTTATGCGGCAATAGATAACTGATACAAATGGGAAGTGCCTGCTTGCAGAAAAGCTTGAGTGGGGGCAAGGAAACCTCCAAAATTACTGAGTTGTAGTTCTTAAGGTCAAAGAGACATTGGAGCCAGATTTTAACATTTAAAAAATATCCAAACTTCTAAATTTGCTTCATCCTGACTCTTTTGAGTAAGTTGACCAATAAGTCAGTGGAACCCCAGCTGTCGTCTGAGTATAGTGTCTTGAATTAAATAATCAATCAATTAATTAATGCAAATGGTTTCCCCTAAGGAGTCATGAAAGGGTTTAAGCAGACTTCTGCCTGGAGGTGTGCTGCCTCCGGAAGGTGGGGAGGGGCCCCCTCTCTGGGGCTCCTTGCTGGTTTGAGATGGCTCCTTCCCCTGCAGGGGACCTGTCTTCCTGGCCACAGCAGGGAGCAGGGGTCTTCTGGTCTTCTGCCAGAGTGAGTCCCCATCCTGCACCTGGTCTCCAGAAAGCTTGGCCCGCCGCATGTGGCGGGCGAGCAGCAGGCACAGTGTGTTGGGAAGGTGTGTGGGCTTTGGAGGGTGCTGTGCACTGGGAGCGGTGTGGGAAGGGCTGGGGAAGGGCCTGGAAATCACACCACCTTTTGGGGCCTTTGTCATTGCCAGAACTTGGAAGCAGTCAAGATGACTTTCAATACGTGATGGGTAAATAATCTGTGGTCCATCCAAACAGTGGAATATTATCCAGCACTCAAAAGGAATGAGCCATCAAGCCATGAGAAGACATGGAGGAACCTAAATCATATTGCTAAGTAAAATATGCCAGTCCGGGAAGGCTACTGATGGTAGGATTCCGACTCGATGACTTTCTGGAAAAGGCAGAGCTATGGAGACAGTGAAAAGATAGCGGTTTTCAGCAGGTGAGGGGAGGCACTGAGGATTTGGGGGCACTGAACTACTCTATGAAACTATAGTGACAGGTCCACGTCACCACACACTTGCCCAGACCCGCAGAACACGCAACACCGAGGACGAAGCGAACCCTGATGTAGATGGTGGACTCTGTGCGATGACGGCCTGTCCGTGCAGGCTTATCGGCTGTGACAAGTGCCCCATCCGTTGGGCTGCTGACAGTGGGGGAGGCTGGGTGGGGGCAGGGCATGTATGGACAACTTCTCGATTTTGCTGTGAACCTACAGCTGCTTTAAAAAATAACATCTATTAAAACAAAACACGACAAAAGGAGAAGCTAAAGAACAAACCGGAACAAATAGATGACAAGGCATAATACCTTTAATACGTAAGAAATCGTGCAAATTGAAAAGAAAAAAACGATGCCCAAGAGGATATGAAGAGACAGTCCTCCAAAGAAGAAATTCAGATGGCTAACAGACACATGGAAAGATGCTCCACATCGCTAGTCATCAGAGAAATGCAAGTTAAAACCACAGTAAGATATCACATCACACCAGTTAGGATGGCCAGCATCAAAAAGACTAAGAACAACAAATGCTGGCGAGGATGTGGAGAAAGGGGAACCCTCCTACACTGCTGGTGGGAATGTAAGCTAGTTCAA